TACTAGTTTAGTTTTGGCTGTATTGAATTTTACAAGCTATTCCTTTCCACATTGATCCACCTGGTCTTGGTCAGAGAATATATAAGTTGTAAGTTGTTAGCTTCTAGTCTTCCAGATTTTTGGAGGTGTGCCTCTACACTGTTGTATCATCTGTATAGATACTCACTAAAGATCAGAGTATGCTCTTAGGCTGATCATTAATATATGGTAGAAAGACAACCCTGAGGAGCATTGACATTGATCTTATGGGTTTCTGATGACAACAACAACCTTCAGAGACCTACCTGTTATGGAGGATTTGATAATTGAGAGAGCCCTTCCAGAGATTCTATAGCTGGAGAGTTTATGTAGCAGCCCCTGATGCTACACACCTTGTCAAATGCTTTTGATATATCTAGTGCAATGGTCCTCATAATAAATTTATTGTCTAGTGCTTCACTGATTCTGTGAGTAATGACAGTTAAGACATCAGGGTAAAATTCTTACTGGTTATTTCTCAAGAGGTTATTTCTGTTGAGGTGTTCAATAACCTTCTTGTTGATTATAGGTTTGAAAAGTTTGCTCATGAAATTAAAGAGACTAATGAGTCAATATTGTAACAGACATGAATGCTCACCCACCTTCTTAAAAACAAGGCACACAGTTGCCATCTTCCATAGACTTGGGAAGCATCTCTCTTTCAAGCAGTGGTTAAACAGTTTTACCAGTATTGGAGATAATTCTGGGCTGATATTCTTAAGAACAATCACTGAGATTTTGTCTGAACTCGTGGCCTTCTTGGAGTCAAAGCATCTGATAAGTCTAGAAAGTTTGTGCTTTGTAAAGACGGGGAAGTTTGGTGAGTGGGTGGTCCTTATGATCTAATATAGAATTAGAGGCAAAGTTCATTACAAAGAACCTTACCTTGTCATTTGAGGATGTAATAACTTCAGGTCCATTTATGATAGCTGGCACAGACATTATTTTGCCTCTATTCTATATTCAAATATGACTACTGTCATCTTGTTTGCATTCACCAACATTACACCCAACAATATCTACACCAACAGCTCTGATTGCTTGCATAATTCTTTCTTTTTAGTCAATGGATCACTTTCAGGAAAAAAAGCTTAGTTGAGGGAAAAAGTTACATATTAAATGTATCGTCCTGGGTATGATGACAAACTACACCCAAGAGGCAACAATCAGGGGAGTATCTAGTGTTTTTACTGTCCACAGCAGCCCTCATTTTGCTGCCCCTTCCCAGAAGGAATATAATATTACAATGCACATAAACTCCTTAAAGTTTATATATCTATATATCTATATCTATATCTATCTATCTATCTATCTATCTATCTATATATATATATATATATATATATATATATATATATATATACAAAACTCTTTCAGGAAAATAAAATAAAAAAATAAATAAATCTCCATAGACACTTAACCAGACTAGATGATATCATCTTCCGCTTTGAATTTAGACACCCCAACCTTACCCTGACTTGACCTCTTTCAATGTAACTGAGATATTGATACAAATCATTATCCATTACGCCCCTTTTCTTTAAACGATTACTCTAGCTGTTACCATAGTAATTTTAATTTTAATAATGAATATGCTTATAAAACGCGTAAATTTCAGGAAATAGTTATTCCCAAAAAAATTTCGCTTGGAGATGGAACAGAGCTTGGTACTTTAATTCAATTTAATTCAAATAATTATAAGTTTTCGGCTCTTGTTTTGAAACATGAGAACTCTTATGTAGCGATGGAATCATATTTTTAAATAAATAATTATAAATATATATATATATATATATATATATATATATATATATATATATATACAGTCAACAACAAAATTATTTGTATACCCATCAATTTTAATATTTCTATCCATTTCTCAGAATCTAATTCCAGGTTTTTGTTAACATGGTATTTATAACTCCTCACTGATAAATTATGAATTAAAAGTACAATTGTGTTTATTTATTTATTTTTTTAAAAATAAAACTAGGAATATGTAAAAAAAATGAAGATGTTACTTCTTTTTATCTAAATCAGGAAAACTTTAAAAACTTTTTACAATATTAAAAGAAAGATAACTTGTTTTGTTTATACACCTTCTGTTTTATTTAAAAGGAAAACAAAAACAAAAAACACATTGTACTTTTAATTCATAATTTATCAGTTTTTTAATATTTATTTCAATTCTAACAAATGAGGAGTCATAAATTATTAAATGCCACATTAACAGAAACACAGTTCATTTTTCTTTTAACAATGTAAAAAAATGAAATGTCTTTTTAAATTATTTTGTTTTACGTAGTTGAAGTTATTATTAGCAAAGTAGTAGACTAAGAAAAAAAGTTTGATAAAATTAATTTCACTTTTAAAACTGAAATAAATGTTATCATACTTTTTTAATTCTTAGTCTATTTTGCTTAATAAAACTTCAACTATCTAAACAAAAAAAATAAAACATTGCATTGTTTTACTACTGTAAATTGAAAAAATGTCCATTTTTGGACTTTAAATAAAGTTTCTGCACTTAAAGAAAGATGTTAATTTTCAATTTCCATTCAATATTTCCAGAAAAAATTGGAATGCATGTGATATCCTTAAAGCATTGGAATTATTCCAATTTATTTATCTATCTATTTTATAATTTATGAAAAGTAATGATTTTATATCCGTATAAAAGCTAGGCCTATGATAAGATAAAAAACAAAATCAATTGGTTTGTTTATTTATTTAATTTTTTTTCAGTAACAGTTCACAAACATGAAAAATCAAAATCAAAGAACTGACTCCAAAGTCTGTACTTCTCACATTGATGTGAAAAAAACTGTGGATTCACTAAATTCATTTAATCCAACTTCACATCAAGGCCTTTAAAAATGTTCAATTTTTCCACACCTTTTGCTCATGTCTTGTAAGTGGGGCTTATCCCCACTAGCTGACAACACATTTTGGAGACAATTTTTTATTTTTTTTATTGCTGGCTGGCTTGGCTTTGAGCCAGCCATATCAAAGACAAATTGGCTTCATTTGAACCCTATCTCCTTCCTTATCGCTGCTATTTTGCAAAAATTATTGAAATTATACTACTGTTTTTTCTTTTCTGAAAACTCACTGCAGACCAAAGGTGCCCCCTGGGGCAGACTGCCCCCTAGCTACACTACTGGCAGCAATACCTCTGATTGAAAGATTGGAGGTTTTGAGGAGCCTGGAACCACCTCTTAATTGCTGTTGTTCCCAGGTCCACCTTGACCCTGGGGTGGTAGCACTTGTTAGGGTCCCAGCTACAGGCAAAAGGTGAACCCCCAAAATAAAAACAAAACATTATGAAAGTGTAAAAATACATTTTTATGAAGATGCCAGTAATACCTTTTTATATATATATAAAAATTACCAACAATACATATTTATAGTAAAATTACCAGCAATACATTTTTAAGGCAAAATGACCAACAATACATTTTATAGTAGAATGACCAACAATACATATTTATAGTAGAATTACCAACAATACATTTTATAGCAAAATGACCGACTATACATATTTATAGTAAAAATACCAACAATACATTTTATATTAAAATGACCAACAATACATATTTATAGTAGAATTACCAATAATATATTTTATCTGTAGCTGAAGCCATAAAATTGCATTAAAATATTTGGATTTCAGCATTAAATAACAAATAGAGGCCGATATGCCACTAAATAAGACCAACTAACTATTAAATGTAAAATGGTTTCTCTATAGATTTGTTGGAAATAATTTTGAGATATAATTGGGAGTGAAAGAGAATGAGAAAGCTTTAGTGAGAAGAAAGGACAATAAAAGAAGAGGATTCAGGAAGGCAGAAGATGGTGATTGTCAATGCATAAAAAATTTGAGGATTGTAAATGGCAAGGAAATAAGAATCCAGAAGAGAGTACCACAGGTAAGAGCACCAGACTACATATGGCAGCAATATTCACTGCATGGTAGATATATAAATTTACAAGATGGATTCAGATGAGAAATATTGTCTGGCATGACACAGTGAACCAACTTACCTAGCAGAAGACCTATCAATTTATTCAATATAATCACTTCACTTCATGTCCGTGAAAAATGTGAGTTCAAGAAGGTGCAAAGAGTTGCTTTCCTGGAGGTTAGAATCACCGATGCTGATGGAAGACAGAAAAGATTCTCTATGGGGATTAAATGATAGCAGTTTTGTTTTTACAAGCCATTCCTTGCCCCAGTTAACCACTGATTGGAAGTTATTTGGAGCAACTGCCAGTTTTATTTTGTTGGTCAGCATAAATACTTAGTTGTGAACTGATGACATTGGAAAGTTTCAATGAAGATAAGAAACAATTTTTTACCATGCAGGTAAAACCAACCTATCTATATTTTTTAAAAGAAACATCCAATTAATTAATTAATTCTTTTTGAAAGATTTTTTTTAAAGTGGTTAATTTTGGGGGTTGAATGAATCAGTAGATTTTAAAGACAAAGAAAAAATTCAATAAGTCTACAATTGGTTTGAAATATATCAAAAATTTTTTTCTTTGGGACTATTAAGTTTCATTTATTATTTTGAAATTAAATTGAAAATTAAAACTTAAAAGATTTTTAATTTTTAAAAAATTACTTATTGCTATTTTTAACCTTTTTATGGGGTCTAACATGGATTTTAAACATTCTTTGCTTCCTGAAACATAATTAAAAAGTAATTTGACACAACTCCAGCTCATGTTGATTTAAGGTTGAGCATACAGCTTTTCTTAGACACCATAGATAAGATGTCACTAGGTAAACATCTATAGCTATACTGCCATACCTAGAAACCCAGAGCATTGGCCTTTGCAGGCATCAGCTATCAATGTCAGCAAGATACAATCAAACTTTGCAAAAGAATAAAAAAATTATAAGACCATGCATTCTTTGAAAATATAGAGTTAAAAACCTTTCAAATAGAACTTTTGTTTTTCTCTCATTTCAGGAATGAATTATTTTTAAGTTGGCGTGGCCGATGGCCACATGATGGCCTTAATGACAGCCTTGGTATGAACTACACTGTGATAGCTCGTTACAACCATCCTCTGTACACCAATATCACTGTAGATGTTGGTTCCAGCAGTTTGGTAAAAGACAGGCAAACAAGCAGAGTCAGAGAAAGTTTGTGGTGGTATGTAATGTTGTTTGATACACTGACAGATAAGTTTTTGTTTTTTTAAGTTTTTATAATATATCTATTTTTTTCCTTTATTAACACACATCTTGTGATTAGATTAGAGTCACTATCCTCTCTGGTATCCATTTTATGTATATATAAATTTTTATATAGAAATTCTGAATGATATAATGTGTCACAGAAAAAGCTTTTTTCCACTTTGTCATAGATTTTCCTTATATATATATATATATATATATATATATATATATATGTTGTGGAATCTTCCACATTAGCCTTCCACCACTTTTGGAAAGATGTATTCTTCCCTAAAAAAAACCTTAACCAATCACCACTTTGTTTCAGTAAATTCACTCTTCTATTGGTTAAGAAACACTAAACTGTAGCAAAATCAAAACAGATCATTTTTCTTGCCGAAACTCCCTGGAGCCGAATTTTAGACACTAAAGTCTATATAAACAGCTGTGTAACTCAATTCAAGTCAGTCATCGAGTTTCTTGAAATGCTACCAAACTTCACGCATGTCAATTCACTGACTCAACATCACTTCAAAATTCTCAACAAACTCAACACAGCACTCAATCGACCATTGTCTGCATGGTAATCAAATTACAATTGACTTAAAAATAAACGTTTTCACTACACAAACAGTAATTGTACAATTCATCAATTTAGCCAAACAGTTAAAGGCAAACAACTCTTCATAACTTAAATTCTAACAAGTAACACATGCATACACACTAATATTTGAATGAACACATTTGAGATTTTTCCTTGCAGAAATCAAATTATTTTAATTTCACTATCAAAACCATTAAGTTTTATTGACCAAATTTCTGCATGAACATTCTTCATAACCTTGTCTCAATTGCCACAATCAACAAACATTGTTATCCTTGCATGTATATCTATTGTATATATAATAAATCTCCTTATTGTTGGATCTCTAACTATTGTGTTTTTAATAATTTCTTGCAATGCAAATTGTCCTTATATTCTTTATTTGATCTACATGTTGTGGGATAATGCATAATAAGCACGCATAATCTTTGTCTTACATAAATTACTTTCTGATACATTTTCACACAGCTACAACCCGCAACAATATATATATATATATATATATATATATATATATATATATATATAGAGAGAGAGAGAGAGGGGGGGAGAGATATCAGATTTTATTATGAAGTCAATGTTTTCTTTCACAATAATATTGGTATTAATCAAATAAATTTTTCAGAATACACTTATATTCATATAAGCAATATATCATAAGAGTTTCAGCTGATAACATCTATCCTTATTAAAAATAATGATAAGGACTTGTTTTGTGGGTGTCTGTTTTTATTATGTAAACAAACTAAGTATAACATAAATTTTTATTTATAAATAAGCCCAAAAGATAGAGTCATATTTGATTATTGCAATAGCCTATATACCATAAAATTATTATTTTACATACTCTACTGTTTTGATTTTAATTTTACTTGCAACAGTTTTATTGCTTTTCACAGATCTTCCCTTGAATATTGTTTTTCATTCTCATATAGATTTCTTTTAATAATGAATCATAAATTTCCTATTGGATAAGTATCTGGAGAGGTTTATGGCACCCATTCCATTAATTTGGTGACTTTGAAACTTTTCTTCACAATTGGAACAATAATCAGCTTTACAGAATATGAAAGGGCATAATCGTGTATGAATATAGTCTTTAAAATAAAAGTTCTTAGTTGTAATCTGTAACATTCAAAAACTTTATTCTCTGAATTTATCTTGGCAATCAATTGCTCAGCCACATTTGCAAAAATAACTTATCAAAAGAACACAAGAAAAAAGATTTTTCACTTTAAACAACACAGTTTCAGGTCAATACCAATTCAACAAACATTTGAAGGTTTTGAGAACTGACCAACCAACAATTTTTAGGAAAACAATAGTGATACTGAATGGGCAAGAGTTAATGTCAAAACTTGTAGCCCTAACTTAATACATTTTCATTATAAACAAGTGTTTTTATTTATCCTGTAAATCCCTTCTTTTTAATTGTGACCAGATTCATTTGACTCAACAGATGTTTAACTTTTGCTCAACCTTTCCATTTGTAAAAACAGTCTCAAAATATACCAATATATTCTACAGGACTGTGAAGCTTGACTCTAATTTGAATACTGATCTATAACTAAATGGTTAAAATGATATCACTAGTGTTTTTAACATATTGATTATTTTTATAAGCACACAGAATTACTTTATAATATATGCTTTTAACAATTTCTCAAGTCTGTTCTACTTGGATATAAAAACATTTTATGAAATAGTAGCTAGAATTGCAACTACCCAAATTAACGGTTTTATTTATATTAATTAAGGCCAATTAATACTGATTAGATGTTAATAAGGTTTACCAATAAGAGTATCTTTGATATTCAAGAACCCTATAATTTGCAAAAATCAAATATAAATTTGTTGTATTTGTTTTTCTATTTTACCTTTTACTTATTTATTTTAATTTTTTCTTATTATTTTTCAGGTTTTTAAATTTCTATTATCCTTGAACAAAATAAAATTGTGCTATATAATGACACAGTAGCCACCACAACGTATCATCACATTAAAAGTCCATCCATGTTGCCTGATGATTCAGAAGATGCAATGCTCCCTTCAACAAAAATTCCGTCGTTAATGTGAGACATCTGTCCATATTTTGATATTTGCACTGTCTTGAAAAAGAAAAAAAAAATGATTACAAAGGAATTTATCTTAAGATGTTCATCTTTGCATCTTCATATATATTAAGGAAAAAATTACTGGACCAATTTTCCTTTTCATATTTTCTGGCCTGATTATCCTTTTATTTTAACCAACAGAAATATCAAAAGAATGATTTTTTTTTCTTTTTAAAATCATATCCTTCACTAAACAAAGAAGCAGAAAAAAGAATTGTAAAAAGTGAGGAACTAAATCAACATTGCAGACTATATTTCAGTTTACCAGGTAAAAAGAAAAAAAAAGATTGACTTCTGGTTCATAGTAACCAACTGTTTCCAAAGACATTTTTATAATCTTTCATTCAATTATCACAGATACAAACATTTTTTAATTGTAGATTTATGTACAATCTAATTATTTTGATGACTTAAAAAATGCAAAGTAAGAAGAAAAATTAATGTACACAAAAACTGTAAATGTTAAGTGTATTTTCCAGGAGGATGAAGTAATTTTTATATTGGGTTTAATAAGCTAGGAATGTTTGTAGAAATTTTTGGCATATTTTAAATAGACTGTTGGTATGGTTATCTCTTTTATAGATGTTGTTATAATGTTTATAAGCAATGCAGCAAATATAATTATATCATTATTATTACTATTATTATTATAGTTAATATTATTATTATTGTTATATTGTGAATATTTGTTGGTTTTGAAATATTAACAAAATAACACATGAAACCACATCTTGCTATCAAAATTTCTCGAAAAGAGAAATCTTTAGAGAAAAACTTTGTACAATTTTTTGTCACTTATCTAAAGAGTGGATCAATAGTTAGAATATACATAAGTGACTGGGAATACATTACCACTGAAATATCTTTTTGTAGAATTTGTTATATATTTTTGTATGTATATACAGCTTATATATAAATGTGTGTGTGTGTGTATATATAAATCCATATATATTTATTGTGTATTGGTGTGTGTCATACAGATTGCCTAAAAAACATGCACTTCATTAAGAAATATTTATATCCTGTAATGATAGAAGATTTTAAAGCCAACAGCCTCATATTCTGGAACCATTTCATTATTGTGTGTATACATTTTAGGCACTGTATGTGTGTGTGTGAGAGAGGGAGAGAAGTGATTTTTATTTTGAAAGTCTCTGCTGATGCAATACACTGGGATATCTACAAAAGGGGTACTGAAAAATTCTCAGTTCAACACCCTTACCAAAATCAGAATTTCAATGACCAAATATCAGAGTAATGATTTTGGAAAATTTTCAACACCCCATTCATAGTTAAAAGCTTTTGAAATTTGACTTTGTAAATGTTTTATACATTGTTTGATTTTCCACATTTTGAATTATTCATACCTGTATATATATATTTGTTTATGTTTGTTTGTTTTTTTATTTTTAAATATGTTTTCTGACATGGTGACTATTGTGTGTACCTGTGTATGCATAATAATACTCATACCAACATATATACCAAGGGTACCGATAGATGTGAAGCAAGTGATTGTTAAATAGGAAACTTGACTAAGTTCTTTATAGTCTCCAAATTTCCTGCTGTTATAATTTATTTCTGACCAAATTCTACTTTTCAAAATTATAAATAAATTTCTCACTATTTATTTTATTGAAAAGTATATTCATCAAATGTTGTGATAAAAAGAAGCAATAAGATGGAGTAAAATTAGTAATGAAATACTTGTCAGGTAAAAATGGTAAAGGAGAAAGTCATTTTATATAAAATGTGAGTAAGTTTTGGTTGCTTTTGTTTCTATGAATGTACTAAAATAACTTTTATTGTTTTTAGAGTATTGTTCATTCAAATTATTTCAAGTACTATATTTTTCACGGAAATTCCTTGTGTATCTTTTCCCTGCCTTTCTTTGATAAACTGCCATCTTTGGTAGAATGCTATTCATTCAGTTAAAACTTAACACAAAGCTAAAAATTAAAAAAAATAATCACAAACAAATAAACAAACAAATGGTTATTTGTATTATGAATTCTTTATAGCATTTTGATATAATAATAATGTGCTATCATTTAATTATTTCACTCAGTATTTAATCATATACACAATTTAACACATACATTCATCTTAAAATTGTATATACAAGTAGAAGCTGAAAAGTTCTTGGCCTGACCAAAAAGGGAATGGCCTTGACCCATGAAAGGTAGATGCTATTTCATATAATTCAACACAAAGGCCAACACTTGGCACATCATTTCTCAAGTTTCTTCATTCACTCCAAAAGAAATTCTAATGTTTCTACATTGAAATACTGCTCAGAATCATTTGAACATTTCTTCCTTTTCAAACTCCTTTTTAATTTTAAGATTTGGAAATAGTCAGATGGGGCAAGATCTATTGAATAGAGTGAATGGTCTATGCACTCAAACCCTGAATCCTTCAAAACATCTAGTCTTGCTAGCTATATGAGCAAGTGCATCGTCTGGTAAAAAGAAACCACATTCTCAAAGCTTTCTTTGTCATTCTTCTTTCATTAGAATAGTTTTCAACTTTAACAGTTTGTTCTTTCTGAATATAATCATCAACATACCTTCTTCATCCTTAAACAAAAACATAGCTATAAACTTTCCTGCTGATTTTTTAATTTCTTTAGTGCTGGAGGACCTGAATGTCATCTTTGCATGAACTGTTTGCTTTCTGAATCATAGCGATGCAATTAAGTTTCATCAACTGTAACAAGTTGTTCCAAGATATTACTGTAAAGGACCAGTGGGGTGAAGATGAAAAGAAAACACATGCGTTTATATTTCCTGCTGGAAGGTCTAGCTACAAGAAAATGTTGGATTTGAATTAAGTCCAAATAAAGATAAAGAAGACAAACAAACAAGACTGATATATAGATATAAACAAATATATGTATTAACAACAAATTACAAAGCACATAGACAGTTAACATTGTGTTTGTGTGTGAACATTCGTGTTTGTTCTTTGGTGAATGTTCGTAATGTTCATAGCGTCTTCCAAGAAATGGGAAATGCTGTCTTTTGTGAGAGCTCACATAGTAGCAGTGTTCACTGAAATGAAGAAAGAAGAGAAAGAATTACCTCACCTCCACATGAGGTGGGATGCAGCACAAGGCCTGAAGAAAAACAATCAAGGCAAGACGTCACCCAGTATTTATAGTATGGGGAGAGAGACCCCTAGTGACAATTTGGGAATTAAGGAGGAGGTAACTCCGACATTATTACTAAATTATTACAAAATCAAGTTCAAGATTAACACTGTATTATTTCTTGTTAGCATTCAAAGATTTTAGAAGCTTCTGCATAACCAACTGTTTATGATTTATAAACCCAATGCATTCCCTGGATATTTCTATAGTGTTTCAACAATTTGGGGGACTGAGATTTGTTGTCTGGCCAAAATTAAGTCATGATCAACAATTTCAAGAATTTACATTGTTGAAAGGCCTACTAGACCATGTTGTATCATGGGTGTTAAAATATCTATATTGGAAGTTGGCCTACCAATTTCTCACATTTGAGTATAACAAGCACTTGTTACCCAATGTTTGCATCATACACTTGTGGGTTTCATTGGACATTTCTTCAACAGAAATAGAAACTTCATCACAGATCAGAGTTCAACATTTGAAAATTCCACACTTTCCACTGACATAGTTCAGTGAATAAGCTGAAAAAAAAGTGCATAGATCCTGTAAGCTGGCTTGTTACACTCTTTCAAGCTACAATGACGAAATATGGCTTAGATTTTGTGGGTGGGTTGGGCTGAGAACTTTTCAGCACCCACTCATTCATTTTTCTTTTATATATGTAAATTGATTTTTGACATTCCAAAATGTACACTTTTAGCAGCTCTGGCTTTTTTGATTGATCAGTAGTGAACATATAAAAAGAATGTTAATAAAAGTGTTTAATAGTAAATAATTTACAACATTTTTAGAAAACTTTATTCCTAACAAATAAAGTTTTTTAAAAAGTTATAAATTATCACACAAAAAGCAAAAAGTTGTAAATTATTACTCAAAAAGTAAAACAGATTTTTCCTATTTTACTTAACCAGTGATTATCAACATATTTGTACATTTTATATGTAAATTAAAAATGTATTTAAAAGGAAACACCTTCATATAGGATGTTGTATCTTATAATATAACAGTTTCAGAAGTTTTAGCTATCATATTCAACAACCAAACTTAGTGTTGTTAATTCCAGACTTCTGAAATATGAATATAAACAACATATTATGCATCATTTATTATTTAAATTATCAAAATTTTAAAACTCCCTTAGATTTCTATTTGTTGAAATTATAATGTTTTTTTACTCATAGCAAACTGCTGACAAATTCTTTAATATCTTCCAATATCTCTATTTTTCTGTATACAATAGAGTATTTTCCATTTAATATGATTAGAATATTTGTTATTTAATTCTTTGCTTAGTATTTTCAACATAACAAAAATCAATATCTGTCTATATTTCTGAGATGAGGTATTATGTACATTATTTACATTATTCGGACTATTGCCCTCATCTTTGTCGCCATATTTATTACGTTTCAGCCATTGTATGCTCCGGCCTTCTTCAGGTGGTTGGAATGTCGAACTGAACACTTTATTTCGCACACTGGGGTAGACTGTTCTAGTTCCACGTGCCATGTTTAATGGATGTCAGTTATCAGTAATCTCCTGTTAATTTTCCCTCGAGGACACATGGCACAGTAGATAAAGGCATTGGTTAGATCCAGTGACAAGCACCCAAAGAGTGTGAGTTCAATACCTGGTTAAGGCAGTGGAGAACTTTCAGAGGGAAAATTACCAGGAGATA